TATTTTTTTAAAGAAAAAAAAAAAGCAAAAACCGAATATTTTTCCAGTTCTTTTGATAAAATTCCCTGACTTTTCCCTGATTTTCCCGAACAGTGGCCACCAAAAAATAATTTGAATTTCTGCGAAGAATTTTATTAGAATTTTTGTAAATTTTTTCGCCGAATTTAAAAATTTCATTGAAAATTGAAAGTATTTCTAAAAACGTTTTAAGAACGTTGTTTACCCACTTGGAAATAACTTTGAATTTTCGGAAATAATTGATAATTATTTTCATTCCATCGGCAAGTGACAATGAAGACATTCATAAAGAAGACAACTTGACATGTATTTATGATTTTTTGAAATACCTACTCATTTCCGTTTATTGTCATTGTCATTCCGTTGATTGTTTATCGTCACCCTCCACACGTGTGGGCATTGAAAAGAGAATATTTCAAATATATTAATTTATTTCCCAATAAATGATAAAATAAAAAATAATTTAGAGAAAACAATTTTGCGTAGAATGTAGAAAATTAATTTCCCAAAAATGTTCATTCGTCACTGAATTGTCATTTTACTGTTTAAGAACGTGCATTTCATTGGTGTAGAATTCGTTAAAGAGAAGTCGTTCTAATTCCATATAGCCTTCTCTATATACAGAGGATCCTTGCGGGCACATCAGAGAGCCAGTCTAGCCGCTCTATTGCCCAATATTTAACCGAGTTCGCTCGTATCGTACTCGAGAATTCCAACCAGCAGATGGAACGGATGATTCAGGATCGAGCACTTGGCTGTTTTAGAAAGGCGAAGGTAGAAGACCTTTCCGTACACGTTCACGAGTGCATGCTCATTTAATGAATACCACACCACTATATACATACACACTACTGCCGTGTGTTGTAAAATCACAAAATTGGAACCATTGCAATTTCCTTCCAAATATAAAATGTCAATGGACTTTTCTTCAATTATTTTCAAAACCCAGAGATTCATAATATGATAACCATTTCAGTTATTTTATTTATTGACAATGCCTTATTTATTTATTGCGGCATTTATCTTTTTCCAACAGGATGAATTTTCGATAAAATAAATTTTCATTCGATAGATTCATTTCACTTCATTCAAAAGATTTCTTTTCATTAATCTTCTTTTAAAATTATTTTAAGACTCTTTTAAGATTCTTAATTCTTTTAAGATACTTTTAAGATTCTTTTAAAATTCTTTTCAGATTCTATTAAGATTTTATCTGAAAAGAAATCTTCAGGTGCACATTATCAGTTTATAATTTTATTCGTTTTGTTGAATGAGAAAAAGCCAATGTCATTGACATTCATATACCGATGTGGAATGATTTATTGACACCATAATCTTGTGTTTGTGTATATGTGACTTCCGGAAATTGCCGGATATAATCCTCTGATCCTATGGAATCTTGGTTTTAAAATTCACTGAAAGATTTTGCGATGAGCATTATTATAATGGCGCACTTTCACCTGATTAAAAGCGTCGTCGGGTTTATTCTCTACTACCCGTCATTAGATGTTAATCATTTGTTCTTATGATGCCAACTTTCGATGATATTTGAGAATTTCATTTACCATTTACTTTCATTCTTAGCTGAAAGAATTGCCTCTATTGCTATTTTTACAATTACTATTATTATAACAATAGGAACATTTTCCCAAATCGTTTATTTATTTTATCAATAATAAACTTGAATTAGCGACAAATATGAACAAATTTCAAATTTTACTTCATCTTCAAATTTTACCATTAATATTAAAGTAGAATTTAATTATATTATTAATTTTGAATATTAATATTTTTTTTTCCTGATTACGTCCATGAATTTTCGAGATGATCATAATTTCCTCTTTTTTTCCCTTTCCCCAATTACTAAATTTCCATTTTAAAAAAAACCATTATAAATGTATAAATTTCAATTTAGAGTTTAGATTTTTTTTATGAAATTTCTAAAGAATTAAAACAAAATTATTATTATTAAAAAGTTAAGTAGCTTTTTAAATGTTTTGGAAAAATTAAATCTTTAACATTAAAAACATATATAATGATCGTGGAAGACAACTTATACGTCAACATCTATGTAATATACTCATACTTTCTCCAAACACCCCATTTTAAAAACTAGTTTAAAAGGCATAAGACCCCAGCAAATTATCGCCCTGACTTTTCACCTTCATTGGATAATGACTCAACTTTCTATCTCACGCCTTATCGTTTTTTAAATCTGATGAGATGGCAGCAATGATATGTCACTTGAATATGCGATCGTGTGACGTTAAATCGAAAAGCTAATTCTGACCTAGGAAAAATTGCTTAAAAAAACAGACAAACAAAAAAAAGAAAAAGCAAATAATAAATACGAGAAAACAAAAATCAAATAATAAACGAAAAATAAATTCCCTCTTTAAAAGTTTCATCCGAAAATAAATTACTTCAACAAATAAATAATAAAAAGCAGCAAATAAAATTTTCATTACGCATATCGAAAATTATTTTTGAAAACATCAAACAATTTATCTTTTTGAAAAATATATTTTTATTTATTAAAAATTGTATTAAATAATAAAATTTGCTTTTGATATTAAATTCAAAAAATCTGCATTGATGAAAAAAAAAAAATTTTCCTTTGTTTATACTTTTTCTTAAAAAATTAATACATTTATTTAATTTTTAAACAGGATCGGTATGTAAACCACACCAAACTTTTCATAAAAATATGTTCCATTTTACGAAAATTAAATATTGGTTTTTTAACATTTCATTTTATAATTAAATTGTTAAAAAATTCAAACATATTAATTTTTATGAAACATGATTTTTTACTCTGATAAAAAAGAATTTTCTATTGTTTGTTTATATATTTCTTTATTTAAAGGTCGAAGCTCATTCGTTATTTTTTACATGAAAAAAAGTTTATGCTTCTTACGAACCTTTATCTTCAAGAAGCTTCACAAATATAATAATTTTTTATAATTTTGTACTTAAATCATTATTTATTATTATTGAATAAATAAATAATAATGATTCAATAATAATAAATCATTATTTATTATTAACGAATAAATAAATAATAATAAATAATGATTTAAAATTTAAATAATCAATTATAAAAAATGATAAAATGGACAAAAATTAAAAAAAAACACTTTTTAAATTATAAATTTCAAAAATTTTGAACAAAATAACAAAAGTAAACAAAAGTAACAAAAATTTGCCTTTTTTATGCGAAAGTAATAATTGAAACAACTATAAATTTTGATAATTTAGTAAAATTTGCAGCTGTTTTAGATAAATAAATTTTTCCGTGTTCGTGTAAAAAATCGTACATCATAAAAATTAAAATGTTTAAAAAAAACTTAATTAAGAAAAAAATTGTTAAAGTAACATAATATTTAATTTTTTTTTCGAAAATGTAACATTTTCCTGAAAATATTGATGTACTTTTGATACCGACTCTTATGAATAGATGAATCTACAATTCGAAAATTAATACACATTGTAGTCATGGGAATGTAATAATGTAAATGGTGTCAATCAAAATAATAGAATAGAAATCAAAATAATACAATATGAAGAATTTCATATATATAAGTGTACATTGCACAATAAATTATATATGCATAATTAAATATGTAAATTTTCATTTGGAAATTGTGTAGATTCATGTATATACAAAAGTAATGAATAAAATAAAATCTTCAAATATGTATATAGTAGATTGATTTTCTTTTAATTTGAATTTTTCATATGTTGAGAACAAGACTGACAATATTCTCGTTTTCTCACGCTTTTACCGCACGCTACTTAAATACTAATCTCAGAGACAAAAAACGCTATTCTCTCACAAACTAACGTTATATGGAAGAAAAGTCTAATGGACCTGTAGTACATTAGTATCATCATTTTCTCCTATATCAAAAACTGTGCAAAATATTGTCAATTCGTTTGAAAAAAGCAACAAACAACCGGAAAATAAATTTAAACAAATGACTTTGGATAAAATTTGTCCTCTTTTTAATTTTTTCTTTTAATTTCCTTCAAATAATTAACTATAATAAATTTGAATGTTCTTTCATTCATTCACTATTTCTGTCCCTCACAGTCTGAAGTTGTCTTTAGAAATTATTAAAATTCATAAATTTTACTCATTTTCCGTAAACATTAATATTTTCCTCTGTAAAAAGAATTTTGTTAGGGAAAGTAATTTTAATGTCAGTAAATTATTGTTAGGAAAATTGATAAATTGAAATTTGTGACCACCCTGAGTAATAAAGGACCGCGAATTTAAATCACACGGGTTTACAACAAAAACTAAAAAAAATTCAATGTTTCGATATTATAGAATTTATTTTTTTTAAATAATTGAATTTCTGCAATTATTTGTAATTTCTCCAAAATTGAATTTTTTTTTAGTGTTTTCAACAAAAATTTAAATTATAGAATATTTTTAAATTCTATTATTTTCAAAATTGCTAATTTTATTTTAAAAAGGTAGTAAAAGAAGTTAGCCGAACTGTTGCTAGTAAAAATTGAAAATTGACACTATAAATGTATTGTGTTTATTAGTAAAATTCATATTTATACAAAATTTTTTTTATAATTATTACTACCTAATAATTATAAAAATAAAAAACTAATAATTATAAAAAAACAATAAAGCAATAAATATTTACACCTTTAGGTACAATAAACAATTTAGAAAACAATTCCTACAAATAACTTTCTTTGAAGTTTTAATTGTTTTAATTTTTCTCTAAAATAAATTATATTTAAAAAATGCATAAATTACACGGGTATTCAATTTTTTTTTTACGAAAATAGTCACAAAAAAGTAGAAAACAAAAAAAATTATATGAAGTGTTTGGTGAAACATTAACGAGCGTTCTTTTTAATAGCGCGTGTAAATTATCTTCCCGAGTTTTTGTTGACTTTTGAAAAGTTGATTGATTTATATTCTCACCTAATTTTTTTATTTTTCGTTCCTGTTACAGGCATAACACGTGCATGCCATTCACGAGGATGAGTTTCAAAACTGCATTTCTCTTATGTAAGTACCTAAATTTTAATAATTTCAGCGAATAATTAGATTATATTTTCTTTTTTTTGTAAAAAATATTTTATTTATTTCTTGGAAATGCCAGTGTATTAAATTAAGCCGATTTATTAATCTCAAATTTTCCAACTTTGATCCTATTATAACAACCTGGAAAGCTGATTATCCATTATTAAACTCGCTGCTGGAAACATCAAATTATTATTTTCCAAACTTCTCCTCTCACAGCTTTTAAACAAATTATGTGCAATTTCAATCAAATAATTAATTTTTGTTAATTAATTATTGAATTTAGTCCTTTATTCCGTTATTACACATTATTATTCGATATACTGAATAAGAAAATTCCGCTTTTGTGCTTAACTATTATTTTATTATTTTCAATTTTATTGTTCTATTATTTTTAATTTAATTATTTTGTTCTTTTTTTTATTTTATTATTAAAAATTTTATTTTATTATTTAATTAATTTATTAAAATTATTACTGGTTATAATTGTAACATTATATTGCACTAGAGTAAGTAGACTCATTTCGAGATATTTAATATACAAAACCATGTTCATTTAAATTAAACCAAATATTCAATGAATATGTGTAATTTTAAATAATTGAAATCACTATTCCATTCTATAATTTAATGATACATTATTCGGAGCTAACATTACGTTACACAATGACAAAATTAAAAATCCTTTTTTTCGTAACTTGATTTAATGAATCAGAAATGAAAAACACATTCTTTTTTGGGACATACGTCCTTGATTTTATAACAATGTGAAGAAACGAAAGATCATAAATGAAGAAAAAAAAATAGTCCTTCCCCTGTTTTTATTTTTTCCAAGCAATATATTTATATTGTTTCGGAAAGTAAAGTGAGCAATTGGCCAATTCAAGGACCGAGTAAAGCAAAAGTAGAAAATGTTTTGGGGCAAGATTACACATATATGTAAATAGAAAATACTAGGCCACGGTCCAAAATTTAGGGTGTACTTTGGAGCATGACGATCAAGTACGCGATATATACGCGATGGGTCAACTGAAAATTAGGAAATCCTCCGCACGCTCTTTGTCTTCAACTCGAAATTCGTTGTTGCAATCTTCTTCCCCCCACCTCATCCCTCTCTCTCTCTCTCTCTCTCCTTTTTAGAATAGTTAGTTGGAGTTAAACGAAGAGGAAGATACGAAATTATTATGCCGGAACTAAAGTTGCAACCTGTACTTTTGAAAACTCAAAGCAATGACGAACGTTCACGTCCCATTTCATGAATCGTAAACTTCACATTTCTCTTCTCTCTCTCTCTCTTTCATATTTTTTTTTTTTTTTTTCTATGAACCGAAAAAAATTCATGTTCGCAAGTTTTCGCATTTTAAGCTCATCAGTTCGACTTACTTTGCGAGGGACGAGAGTTGAAACAAACTTCAGCCATTTATCTTGTTTCCAAAGAGACTCATTTCCGGACGTGCAATTTTCCATTCTGATTTCTGAACAGATTTGCATACTTTAATGAGCGGCGAATAGATAAAAGTCAATTAAAGGGTCATGATTCTTTTTTTCTCTCTCGCAAATTGTTTTTCATATATTATTTTATTATATTCATAATTTTTTTCTCTCTAATTTAATTGGGAATTTTTCACTTACACTGTCTGATTATAGTTAATTTCCGCAGTTCGTTAATAATTTCATCAAGTATCATTAAGGAATATTTTTCTTCTTCTTTTAGAATTGAAACTTATTGCGAGAAATTGAATTGTTAATTACAAACCTTGGATTAACTTTAAAACACAAAAAATGTTTTAGTCGATTTAAATTAAGAAAAAAGTCGTTAATTTTATTCAGGATTTTTATAAAAATTTGAGTTTATATTTTCCTGACTTTTCCTGATTTTCAGAAAAGTTTTTAAATTTTTTCCTTATTTTGATAACTGCAATTGTAAAATTATTCGATAAATAATATCAATTAATATTTATTTATACAATAAATTCATTTTTAAATAAATATTTAATCGCAATATTATTTTCCCATAGGAATTAAGATTTTCAAAAAATTCAAATTTAAACCTCGGAATTATTCCTATCTTCATGTTTCATAATAATGTAAACTTCCATAAAAATTTTTAAAAAATTCAATTTTTTACAAAAATTTAAATAAAATCCTGCGCAAGAATTCAATTATTTTTACAATTAATACAATTTTTCACATCAATTCAATTATTTTAAAAATAGTAATAAAATTCGTTGTTTGAATTCAATTACATATTTTCATAAGTAATACAATTTTTTGAATGAATTTCTAGAAAAAAGAAATTATTTTCAAAAATTTGTTGCAAGAATTCAATTACATTTCACAAGTCATAAAATTCATCGCTGAAATTCAAATATTTTCAAAATCTACCATTTTAATAAAATTTTCCAAAAGAATTCAATTATTTAAAAAAATGTAATAAACTTCGTTGTAAGAATTGAATTATTTTCTTAAATAATAAAATTCTTTGCAGGATTTCAATTATTTTTAAAACATTTTTAAGTAAATTTTTCAAAAAATGTCATTATTTTCACAAAATTTTATTGAAATTCTTTGAAAGAATTCAATTATTATTAATCAAATATTTTTAATAATTTTTGGCAGAAGTTCCTTGAAAATTTCCAAATCCATTTGTTTACAATGTAATTTTACGTAATTCGGATTAAATTCGGGAATTCTTCAGTTAAATTTTATTAAAATAAAATCTTGAAATAATTTAAAAAAAAAAAAATTCATTAAAATATGAAATAATTTCCAAAAAAAATTCAATTAAAAATATGAAAATTTCAGATTTTCAATGATTTTAATTTCAAAACCTTTTCAAAATTCAATTATTTCTAAAACTTCATGCAATAATGATTTTTATATTCAATTATTATTTAAAATTTTATTTAAAGTTCATTTTTAAATTAATTTTTATTATAATAATATATTTAATAAATGAATTTCTCTCAAAAGTGAATTCTCATAAAGAATTTTCTTAACAAATTTTCAAATAATTTAATTATTTCAATAATTATTAATATTATTTTCAAGAATAATTTTATTTTTCGAGGAATTTGATTAAAATAATTGAATATCTGTAAAAAATTTTATTATTTACGAAAATAATTGAATTATTGCCATGAATTTTATTACAATTTTTAAAAATAATTGAATTTCTGTGAAATTTTTATTATTTATGAAAATAATTTAATGTTTCCTTAGAATTTTTATCAACATTTTTTAAAAATTGAATTCTTTTAAAAAATTTTATTAAAATAGTAGATATTGAAATGCATTGAATTGAGGAAAATTTTTGAAAATAATTGAAATTTTACCAAGAATTTCATTAAATTTTTTTAAAATAATTGAATTTTGCAGAAGAATTTTATTATTTTTAAAAATAATTGAAATTTTGACAATAATTTAAAAAAAATTTTGGACATAATTGAATTTCTGCAATCATTTGTAACTTCTCAAAAATTCAATTTTTTCCAGTTCTTTTATAAAAATCCCTGACTTTTCCCAGATTTCCCTGACCAATTTTACTTTCCCTGATTTTTTCCTTAATTGCCTGATTTCCCTGACTTGTGGCAACTGTAATATATTTTTTCAAAAACACGATTTTTTAAGAAATTCGAACAAAATTCTCAAAAATAGAATATTTATTTCGATAAAGATTGATGAAATTTACAATTGTTTGACAATTTTTCAATTAATTACTTCCGGAAATTCAATGATCGTCAAGAAATTTATATTAAAATTTTTCAAAAACCTAATCTTTTCAAAATTTCTGAATCCAGTTATTCAAAATTTCATAATAAACTTCTTAAAAAATTAAAAACGTAAATGTAAATTTAAATATAATTAAATTTCTACATGAATTTAAATTTTCAAAAATTTTGAAGTTGAAATTTTCTGAAATTTAATTATTTCTAAAATTTGCTACTGTAACTTCTCCTAAAGTTAATAATTATTAATCATAATTAAAATAATCCTTAATCAAATCAATTAAAAAGAAACAAAAATTTCTTTTTAATATTTAAAAAAGAATGTAAAATTTATTTTAATATTCACATCTATTTCATCTAAATTTCAAGCGAACGAGGATGAGATTTTCTCAACTAAATAAACAAAGTTCAAAACACAAGACTACACAAAGAGGGGGGGGGGAGAGGAGGGAGGGATAAATGCATCCATATTTTATGGACAATTCATCTATTCGTGAATCTGGTTTCCGTCGATATCAATCTGCGAGGAAGGTTTCCGAAAGTCGTCCACACGATTTCGTATATAACTCGATTGCCATCGTAAATTCACTGGCTTTACAACTCCCAGTGTCTATGTACATATCTCACAGTACAAGGATAGATGTCGTCCAAAGCCCAAAGTCTCGTTAATCTGTCGATTTTCAAGATCTCAAGAGAGCCCTTTAATTCGATACTTCAATCTGCACCGATTCGAATATAATTTCAACTTCAAATGATACAGCAATATTCTTGTGACCTCACACAGCTTTCACATGTATAAAATTTTTTTTATAGCTCCTAAAATTTTCTATAGGTATATTTACTTCCACTTCATGCACTTTTTTTTTGCAAAGATAAAATTTATATTTCCATCCCTAAGTGTATCAATTTTTTTTTCCTTTTAAATTTGTCCACAAAATTTAACAAGGACTATTTTTTAGTCATTCAATTTTTTATTTTTTTTTTTATAACAGCGACAGTAACAACAACGATAATAACAATAATAATATAATAATAATCATTATCAGGGTTGCCACAAATATTTAATTTTGTTTTTCCCTGACTTTTTCCTGATTTCCAAAAAAAAACATTTAAATTCAAACCTTTTAAAATTAACAACTTATCAAAATTTTATTGTAAAACATAAAGATATCGATCACTCCGAGTCTTCGACTCGGAATGATCGATTTCTTCATGTTTTATAATAATTTAAATTACCATACAATTTTTCAAAAAAAA